TGTGTGTGCGTGTGTGTGTTTTGGGGAGACAATGACCTACGTTTAGTGTTTGTTGACTTCAATTTTTTTTAAAAATTATTATAAGAACGAAAATGTAATAAACCCAAAATAATAATAAATGTGACAATAGTTCTAGTGTCACCATACGAAAGAACAAAAACTGCAGGTCGTTTACTTGTGCGTGCCTTGAGCCTGTCTAGCAGCTTTCCTCTATTGGCTCGGTATTGAGAATTTACCTTTTTAAATTGTCGGAATCACGACTCTGAAAAAGAAAATCAATAATGTGTTACACGTTTAAATAACACAAGTTCAGATGTAAGGCTTCGTGACAAAACGCACGATATCCATTTACTGCAAAACAGAGAAAAAGAAGGGGGAAAAGTATTCTCTGATGAAAACAAAAGTATGAACATTGAAACATTATATTTTTATCATTCTAAATATCGCGGTCCTGACATTTGAACATGGTGTTCCACCTCTCCGCTTCCCCCTCCCCTAATCCAAAAAGAAAAAAAGAAAGAAAGAAAATGAATGAATGAATGAAGGAATGAAAGGTAGAAATAAAAGAACTTGGAAAAAGAATAGAAATAATAAAAATCGGTATACTTTCTACTTCCAACGGAATAACAAATTTTTAAAAAGCAAAAGCAAACATTTAGTGTAACGAGATAACTGCTACATATTATAACCCAGAATGACACATTATACACGTAATAATATACCATTTACCGGCTCTTTTTAAGTAAATACGACTCAGATTCAAGTCATGGTGTTTTTCCCCATATAAAATTATGATGCCGGCATGCAAATATTATCGACGAGACATTGCATACGAACGACATACAAGCTTGGAGTCATCAGGTAGAAATTGCCGTCTTGAGAGAAAAAAAAATTCTCAAGTTTTTAAGCAGTATTAGGTCGAATGTACAGGTTTTATATCATCTGAAACTGTAGACAAGTGGCAGCAAAAGTTTCCTAAAGCCACGTGTGTAAGAAAATAATAATGGAAATTTAGAATAAACAGGACGTTAATACGCATGTCCAGATGAAAGGATAATAGAAGAATCTCTAATCTACTTCAACTTCTACTCTAAGTTCTCCTTAAACTAACTTGTACGTGAAGGCGGCACAGTTTCAATTGCTTCAAACATGTGAAAATACCGAGCATAGATATTAATATTAATTGTAATCGTAGGAGAAGTAAGACCGACATACTTCAACATCAGTGGTATCTTGGTTCCCTCCTTGTGCTGTATGTGGCGGTCTGATTCGATGAACAGGGGAATTTAAAGATAATGTAGCCTCCCTTGTGAGGTTCCCAAGTTCGGCCTCAAACAGAACTTCAGACCACAACTTTTCCGCAATGATGCGTTGTTCACGAGGAAGGCCCCTGAGCTTATGTGCCATGGTTTTGCCATAGGAATCGAACTGATCTTCTGTGGCTACACGGGGGTTGAGCAGACTCTGCTGTGCAATATTCAAAGGCTCCTCGTCAACACATTTCCGTTTGGGGGCCTGTCTTTCTTGTTGCAAGTTTGAATGTCCTGGTCTTGGCTCAGGACTCGGCCTCGAGTCCTCAACATCAAGCAACTGTATGTCAGACTTACTATCTGAACCAGGGCTGGATATCTGGGCAAGAAAGTGGGTGTGGCAAAATTAGGATGAAATTAATTTAGATGCATACGAGTTTGTTGCTGGGGGGGGGGGGGGGTCATTGATAAGAAATGCTTTGCATTACATATATTCTTTTTCCCCTATTAAATTTTGTACCCAACAGTTATACCAAATGGCAGTTTCCTAACTGTTTGGGTGCTGTAGATGACAAGCATATAGCTATATCTCTACTCTCTTGCTCTGGCTCCTATTATTAATACATGTTTTACAATTACAAGGGACTCCATAGCATGGTCCTGCTGGCTGTTGCTAACGCTGATTATGAGTTGGTGTATGCGAAATTCGGAACATATGGAGGAGTTTCTGATGGTGGTGTGATTGACCAGACTGATTTCTACCATAAACTGAAGAGTGGAGATCTATATTTGCCTCAGTAAAATTCAACAAATGGCCTTCCCTACGTGTTCATAGCAGATGAAGCCTTCGCTCTACGACCGAACTTTTTGAAGCCTTATAATGTGAGGGTCCCAGATGACAAAGAGAGAATTTTTCATGACCGACTCTCAAGGGCAAAAAGAAACGTGGAGAATGTCTTTGGTATTATAGTTTCCAGATTTAGGGTGCTGAGGTCTGAAATAAAACTCAAACCAGAGAACATTGACTCCATCATTTTATCCTGATGTGTTCTTCACAATTTCATAAGGAAAATTAACCCCACCAATTACACACCCAATGACTTGCTTGATCGCAAGGAACCCTGCACTCAAGATGTGGTGGAAGGCCTTTGGCATGCGGCCCAAATGTGGCTGATATTTTCATTGGTACACGGAGAAATGCAACTGAAGAGGCCAAGCTCACAAGCGGTAACGTTATGGTATACTTCAATACTATTGGGGAAAGTTCCCTGGCAAGACTCATAACATACCTTGAGACAAGAGCACTGGTGTTATTGAGAAGGGAAAAAAAACTACAACAAAAAAGAAACACCAAGATCAAACAATCAATAACATTGAATCGATGATCATTAAATGTTTTATTTTTGTTGATGCAAGCCATGCCTTGATATCTTAAATGTACACTGATGCTATATCACAAAATATAGGTTTTTCAGAGCTCACTTTCAGTTCAAATTCAAATCACTTTATTAATCAAAATTCTGGAAACTAATATTAAACAGTCTTGTCATAAAAATACTTCTGTGCACTTAACTGGGTAAAACCTTGTGAGCAAATTAAAAACTGAAAGAGTAAATTAATATGTTAGTGGAAAAATAAAATATACATGTA